GTTACTTTTATGTATATTTATATGTCAAAAATACTATATAATTATTTTAAAAAAATTCATATTAACTAGTTGCACACAATATTATATATAATGCAATTTTTTTATTGATGAGACCCTACGTTATAACGAATGTACAATCGTTATGGTTGTTTTTCAACAAAATCCACCTTAAACGATCGTGCATTCGTCATATAATACATTATAAAGATAATAAACTCGTTATAGGTCTAATTTTAGTCATTTTTAAGTTAAAATAACGAATGAACAAAGATTTTACATGATCTAACCTTTTTTCAGAAACCAAAAAAAAAAACAAGTATAGTTATTTCAAGAAAAAAGAGTTTCGTTATGAGTGTTTCGAATCTCTAACACCTTTAAACTATATTTCCAATGACATAAAATATGAATATACATTTGTTATCAAGTAATTCGATTAAAAAAATCATAGAGAAAACACGTTTGTTAAGAAAAACAACCATTATGTACCAAAAAAAAAAAAAAAAAAANNNNAAACAACCATAACGAAACATTCGTTATAACGAATGTACAATATTTATGGTTGTTTTTCGACCATATCTATCTTAAACGATCGTGCATTCTTCATATAATACATTATAAAGATGTTAAACTCATTTAAGGTCTAACTTTAGTTATTTTTAAGTTAAAATAACGAATGTACAAAGATTTTACATGATCTAACCTTTTTTTAAAAACAAAAAAACAAGTGTTGTTATTTCAAAAAAAGAGTTTCGTTATGAGTGTTTCAACGCTCTAACACCTTTAAACTATTGTTTCAATGACATGTAATATGAATATACAATCGTTATCAAGTAATTCGATCAAAAAAACCATAGAGAAAACACGTTTGTTAAGAAAATCAACCATAACGAATGTACATTCGTTATAACGAATGTACAATCGTTATGGTTGTTTTTCGACTAAATCCACCTTAAATGATCGTGCATTCGTCATATAATACATTATAAAGATGGTAAAATCGGTATAGGTCAAATTCTAGTCATTTTAAAGTTAAAATAACGAATGTACATTGATTTTACATGATCTAACCTTTTTTCAAAAAAAAAAAAACAAGTATCGTTATTTCATAAAAAGAATTTCGTTATGAGTGTTTCGACGCTTCAATACTTTTAAACTATCGTTCCAATGACATGTAACATGAATATACAATCGTTATCAAGTAATTCGATAAAAAAACATAGAGAAAGCACGTTTGTCAAGAAAAACAACCATAACGAATGTACAATCATTATGGTTGTTTTTCGACTAATATACATTAAACGATCGTACATTCGTCATATAATATATAATAAAGATGTTAAACTCGTTATAGGTCTAATTTT